TCTCCTTTGGTGAGGAAGCTCAGACTGAAGAGTTAATTGAAATGCGAATAGGCAGGGGATAGCAGCATCCAGTTGGGACAGTGGCCTTCTGAAACACTTCAATACTTCTCATAGCCAAAGGAAACATGGAGAGACCTTCCTAAGAGATGGTGGCAGGTAGAGCTTAGGCAGTGGTGGTTGTAAAGAGTTGCCTACTCAGAACCACTGTCAGAAATTCACCCTGCAGAAGACCATCAAGATAGTTCTGCTGCAGAAATTTAACACGTGCCTTTCTTTCCAAGAGAGCTACATGGAAATGGCCTGGATTAAAGTTGCTTGGCCTAAAAAAGATTTCTATCTCCCTATCCATGCAGATCTCCCTGTGGCGTGTCAGTAAATCTGAAAGTGTTAGAAATCCACTCCTGGTTCTGCTCAACATGCATAATTCTGGTTTTGAAAGTGTACATTGGTAGATACACATTTAAAAAGCCATTTCTCTCTGTTATACTTCTCTATGACTGTTCTGGTTTTTTGTGGTACTGCAGATGTTAATTTTCTTGGTTTTGTGGGATTTTTTTTGTTTTGTTTTTGTAATAGAGAAATGGAAAACTGTAACTTGTAATGTTACATTACAATGACTGCAACTTCCTAAACTGGATTATTTGAACATTGCCTCTTCCATTCACATTTAACAGTGAAGAAACACCTGTCCACAGAATGAAGTAAGACCAGAAAAATATATTTGTTTCTTAGGAAAAATTTAGAAAATATTTCTGTTGTTATGGGTGACATGTTTTTCTACTGTGTGTCTTTTCCAGCACATTTTTAACAGAAATAACTGAAAAATACAGACAATTTGGTTTTCTCATGGTTAGACACAACTCCATCTATGTCAGGTTTGGGAACACATCTGAGTCCTGTGATACTGCTGGTGGAGCCTTGTGCAGAGCTCTCTGCAAGTCTCTGCCTCAGCTCTTCCCAGTGCTTGTCTACACAGAGAGATGTCCTGAGATGTTCTGGCACAGCTGCACTGGAGGCACGGGCTGCTGTGTCTCCCCACACTGGTGCTGCTGTGGAATAGAATTGGGTTTAACCTGAAGTAGTTCTCCTGCAAACCAAAACACCCCAGCAAACACAAAACAAAAACAACTCCTGCCAGTTTTCCGGGGTAAAGTGACTCTCTTGGGGCTTGAGGTGAAATAGTTTCTGTATCCCATTTCAAGTGTAGAGATGGTATTGTAGCAGTAGCATGGCTGGCATAGACTCCCAGATCCCTGTTTCATGTTGACTCCACTGAATTCCTTGACATCTTTTAATATGTTTCCTGTTGTTAGGTCAGATGCTTTCCCAAATTAAAAGCCAACTGCATTTTTATCTCTCTACCTGGCTTAGCTGAACTGCCTAATAATATTTTTCTTCTGAAATAGGTGTGGTTGTAAGAAGAGGCTTAAAACAGCCTTGAAAGCCACTTCATAGCCCATAGTCCAACAACCGGTTATCTACAAATGACAATTGCAGCGCTGTGTGAAAGCATTGTTAAATACTCATTTCTATCATGTAGCACACCACCATGCAACAAAGTGCAAAGAAATACTACTGCAAAGGTTTGTATTCACTGCAATATGGCACTTTCAATATTTAGAATGCAGTACTAATTTTATAAATTGCACTTTGTGGTACTGCCAAGCAAGAAGAAAAGAAAGAATTGAACTCTCCTTGGCTTTATGTGAGATGCTAAATCTGTTCAATTTGCAGGAAAAAAAAAAATAGACCTTAAAACCTAGATGCATAAATAATAATTTGGATGCAAGTTTCCCTCAAATTTTCTTAGAAGAATGCATTTGCTATTCAGGCACCATATTTGTGGTGACATAACATAATTTTATATATATAATATATTTACATAGCAGGCACGAGTAGCCACTCTCTATTATTTACTGTGTCACTCAATGGACAAGATAAAACCAGCTTTGAATTAAAAGGAATAAAACCCCAAGCCAACTCAAAACTTGCGCTTGGACTGCTACTAACAATCACTAAATCAGACAAAATCACTGTACAAACATAGGAAAATAGTTACAAGGAGTTCACTGATCCTCCTGTTTCATTATCCCACCCAAGAAGTGACTAATGCAGGGTGGCCCAGCCCCTTCAGGCCACCAGCGCTCTCTGCAGCCAAGTGCCACCAACTCCTTCTTCCCAGTGAGCTGGAGGTGGCTCGCAGGGCTGAGCAGCTGTGTGGCTTCACAGCCACCCCTGCCCTCCCCTCCGCACACCAGCCAACAGACTCAGGCCTAAGAGGCCTTGAGGCCTAAGGAAGGGAACGGACAGTTCACTGGCTCACTTTGGGCATCCAGCTGGATTCTGGGTTTGGGGCTATTTGCTGGAGGCAGCCACAGAGTGAAGAGTAAGAGGGATGTGTTAGGAAGCCACTGGGGAGAGCCTCTGGAGAGATGTGCTGGCCCCATTGACTGTGTGAGGGGAGCAGCCCGAAGTGAGGGACCTGTGGCAGCTGGTGCTGAGCATCTGCTGCTCCTCGGCATATCTGAAATCCAGATGGTCTCTTCCGTCTGCCAGAGCCAGTTTTTGGACAGATTGCTTCCTAGAAGTTCCAATTTCAAGGCAGCCATGAAGAGCTTCTTAAATTACTTGAGGGCTCTGAAGAGGACATAGTAAGGCTCTAGCCATGCCATTGTCATTGTGATAGGTGCAACAGCTCAGCCCTCCACTAAGTGATGGAGCTGGGAACCACACTCTGTTGGACTTAAACACTTTGAGAGGCCTCCACCAGGAGGCTGAGGAAACTCTGAGCTTCTCTGCTCTGAAAGCATCCAATCTATAGTGCTGGGCATCTGCAAGCTATTAGCTGCTGTGCTCTACACCTACAGGAGTACAGTGCTCCTCACCGTGAGCGAGTCTTCTCCTGCACAGCTGGGGCCACAGCATGGCTGGTTCATCCTCTTCCCTTTGAGCTGGTCCACAAAACCTAAAATTCTGTCATTGTGGTTGTCAAAGTCTAATACTTGGGACCCTTACTGCTCTCTTTAACTCACAAGGAGTAATGAATTCCAGGGATTAATTTTTAATTGCTTTTAGTTTTCTGTTTATTAACTTATTTCCTCATCTCTTTTTATTTCTGAAGTAAATCAGAGCTGTTTAATTTTCAAAATGGTTCACTTAAAATTTGGGGGAGGAGGAAAATAGAATCATTCCTGTAATTCTGGTATTAAATACTGTTTCATGAAATAAATGAGAATAGTTACACATGAGGTATTTTAAAAATAGTAATTCCTTCTTTCCTTGGCACAGTGCCATGGGCTGGTTCCCTACTTTGGAACACAGGGTGGTGTTTAACTCCTGGAATTGGATATGCCCCATGGCAGCCCCTTAGGGTTTTCTCCAGAGAGCCTCTCCTAGATGGCTGGATTTGAAGAGCAGCCACTACATGTTTGAAAAACCAACTGAAACACTGAGTGGTGTGCAAGCTATAAAGAAAACTGTTTTGGCCCAAGATTATGGCAACTTCCCCCACCCCACACCTGGACAAAAATTACTTAGCTTGGCAAAGCAGATAAACACACACAGAGAAACTTGTGGTTAAAATGCTACCTTTAGGTGATGTCTTTAACAACCCTTGCTGAGTAGTTTATTTTAAAAAAATGACTTATAATTATAAACCCCCTCTTCAGGCCACTGGAATGACCATTAATTCTCACTTATTTGTTCATTCAGGGCTTGAGTCTGGAAGAAAATAAAGGGAAACAACTACCCAAAAGCATGAAAAGTTATTTCCTCTGGCAGAATGCCACTGTTTTCCATTTCTAAAGCATTTTCCAAATGTCTTAAATAGTTCTTGCAACATCCTAATGAGGTAGGCATTATTTCCCCATTTTACAGATAGCAGAACTGGGCAGAGAGTCAGTCAGGAATCAACCCTGGACATCCAGAGGTCAGGACAAAAAAAAGAACTTTCCTCTTCTGCAGTTGCTCCTTTTGCCCCAGAGGGTGGAAGTCACCTTGAGGTTACTCCTCCCCACCTGCACATGAGAACAGGCAGGAGTAGCTGGATATGAACATCCTGACTCCAATGTCCCCAGGACAGTGGCCATCACTGAACTGATGTGCAGGTGAAGGCTGACTGAGAAAGTGCAAACAAAAGCACAGTTATGATCTGTTCCTTCCACTGAGTCGTGACCTAATCTGGAGCTGGATTTGATGACTTTCCCTGTATCGCAAAGCAAGCCTGGGTTAGAACGGGGAAACCATCTCAGAATTATATGTTGGGGCTATTGACCACACACACGTGCACACACACACACATCTCTCCAGCAATGCTAGGTCCAAAGAATATATACAGAGCAGTCAATGAGCTATATATATGTGTGTGTTAGTATGATTCAGTGCAATGGGGCAATGGTGAGTTCTAGAGAAACACTCAGGTTTAAATGACCATTAAGCCTCTCTACCCTCCTCATGAGTAAAATGTGTGTTTGATGTTCTTTTCTCAGCTTACTCTACTTGTATAATAAACCTTCATTCCATCACCACTACTTTTGACTATAATACATAGGGTAAACTAGGGTACCTCATTACATTGGGATGTGCAATACACAATCGACAGAGCAGTCGTCTGAGCTGAATAGTCCAAATACAAGTAAAAAGCAAGTGAGCTTAAACAGTAATATACTCCAATTTACAATATAAGCAGAACAAGTAAAAATATTGCTCCCCATCTGATCCATTTTTTTTCCTCCACTACTGCTGTGCCTGTAAGATTGGCTTGGTAAACTGGATGCACTCAAAAAATAAGGATTTTGCCTCTTGGAAGCTCATAAAATGATACTAGAGAAAGTTTTCTGATGGCTAACCCACACAGACTGCAGTCATTAGACAATTCAAATGCGTAGAACAGAGAACCCTTTCAAACAGCTGTGGAGAAACAGAAAGAAATAGCCACTTCACATATCCCGATGCTGTTTCTGGGAATGAGGAAGAGAAAAAAAAGAGAAAAAAAAAAAAAAAGACAACATATTAAGAGTCTTTGTCACTGTCCATTGAGCCATACATATCTGCCAGCTTTTTAAACCGAGGTCCCCAGTCACTGAGGTAATCGTAGTCCTGATCTCCGTCTGTAGTCACCGACTCCAAGGAGCTGAGGGACTCGGCCACAGAACCATTACCTTCGTACGCGTAGGTTGCTAATGAGTCATACGGGGGTGCTGTTGGATCTGTATCATTTTCCTTTAACCTTTGGTTAATAAAATCTCTGACATCCGTGTTATCTCGTGCTGTTGCAGTCCGCCGCGGCATGAAAAGTGTTTCCGGCACAATGTCTCTGCGTAATTTATTATCATCTATGGCTTCGGGATTCCTCAGTGTGCCAATATCAAACGCCTGGGTGTCTTCCTCTCCACCACCTTCATCGTTATAACTGACAATGTTGTCTCTGATGTCTTCTTTGGAAATTATCAAAGGCTCTTTTTTCCGCTGCCGTCTCAGCGCTGCAAACAGCACCACGGTAACTGCAAACAAAAACAACAGCGAAAGGGAAAGAAGGTTAATCCCCAGCTCCATTAAAGCCCAAAAGAAATGCTGCACCTCTGCTTGAGTTTGAAGTTTGAGAGGATGTTTTGAAAAACTGAAAATGTGCACATCAGATTTTCAGGCTGCGCTTGCTCTGTCTGTGAGCTTCTTGGGAGACGAAATGGCATGCATGCACAGAAGAAAGGAGATGTCAAGCTTGCAGGAAGCCAAGCAGAGTGTCTTTTTTGCCAGTAGGATATTTGTTACCCAGAGCCATATACTAATTTTGTCACCTTGAGAAACTAGTTTCATGAGATCTAGGAAGGAAGAAACACTCTCTCCAGAATAAGTAACATTAGATGTTATTTATGTTGAACCCCTTGGACATTATGCAGCTTCTGCTATGGACAAGGATGCTATCTACTGAGCTTAGCAAAGCCAAATTTCAAGATAAGTAAATCTATCCTCCATTGGGAAAAAAGCTTGGAATATGGAGTGGATTTTCAGCCAGCACAAAATCTGAGTTTTGTTAATGTCCCTGGAATGTTTTTACAATATACATCACCTTGAACAGTACACAAATTAAATAATGGACTGATGAGATATGATAAAGGTATTTTTTAATCTGACAAAAGCAGATTTCTAGAGCATCTTTTATGTCCTTAATTTTAAAGTGTGTGTTCACATACACATATTTTTCATTTATTTGGAGGGAAGGAACTCCTTCCATGACCCTGATGCAAATTTTAGAATTTTTAGTCAATAATGATTTTCAGTAGTGATGAAGGACACAGAACGTGGAAAGGGATATGGTCAACACTTTTCTATAGAAGCTAGTTTCATATTTCTTAGCTGGATTCTACTTTAAGATGTAAATGGCTGAATATTGACAAATGAACAGCAGCAAGGAGCAGGGATGTATTTCTGCTGTCAGTGTTGCTTTGGTAGTCTGAGGTCTGCAATGCCCAGCATTTCAGCTCTGCTGTGCAAACTCCAAGGAAGGACACATCGTGCTGTCTTTACAGTTTTTTCATAGCAAAGCAAAGCAGAAATGCCGAAACTCATTGATGTGAGATGATAAGGTGGATCACAATGATGCTTCATGTCAGCTTTGCTTCTAAAATGGCATGTGAGTCAAGCACAGTAACTGTTAAAGAATTTTTTTTCAGTCCTTTCCTCAGTTGTAACCTTTTAAGGTCAACATCAATGACTAAGGGCGTCCCCAACCCAAAACTTCACTCCACTGAACCTTCTCATTCTTAGTTTCCTCTGACAGACAAATTCTGGTGGGTTTTTTTCTTTTGGTTGGGGGGGCGTGGTGTGGCATGGTGTGGTGTGGTTGTTTTTTATTGTTTGTTTTGGTTGGGGTTTTGGGTTTTTTTGTTTCTTTGTTTTTGTTGGTTGGGTTTTTTAATAATGAGTTCCCCTGCAGGATTGCTTACAGCAAAATACTGTCTGTATGTATGCCTGAGCATCTTGTAGATTGACTATCAATATGAGCTGAAAGGAAATGGATGGTGAAGTTGAAGGATTAGGAGGGGTGGTTCAGACTGCATTGGGATCTCAGCCTAATGATGAGGATTTACTTATGGTGTCACAGAAGGGTCCTAGTTTGAGTGATGCGTCTTCATGCTGCTGTGCAAAAATTAGACAGACACTATTTCACTATTTTCTTCCTCAACAGCAAAAAGCTGTGGCACTGTGTGTGGGATGACTGGTGAAAGGTGTGTATGAAAGAAGAGAGATAGCTGGAGAACATTTTGGAGAACTTGAAAAACAATGTCAATTTGGAATGGGCTTCTGGAACAGTGACTGGTAGAATGGTCTGAGAAAGCATAGATGTTGATGAAAGCATAAATGTTAGATTTTACATCAGAGTTGCTGAAGTATCTCATTACAAAAGTAGTGTTACACAGAACATGCAAGGATGAGACTATGATAAATACATCACACATCTGATACATGGATTTTACTGCTTTGTGCTGAACTTGCAGGAAAAAGACCCCATCACAAGCTACATGTTGAAGTACATCACTTTTATTTGCATGTCTGTGTTCAGCAGTATCTGAAACCTCCTGAGAAGATGCTAAACTTACTCAAACTGCATATAAACCTAGCAATTTACAGGCACTCTTTGTTGCTGCTAAACTTTGAGCTGTGGTTCAGGTCTGCCCAGAGTATTGTTTTTCACTCAGTAGTGGCTGCACATTCAAACCCTGCAACCAACCTGAAAATAGAAAATTATATAGCTGAGTTAATTGAAAATCTGCTTATGGTGCATGGTGGCATGAGCAGTAATTGACATAAAGTGCTGCTTAGCACACAGAATCAATTATTTTCGATTGACATAAAACAGGAAATCGTTTAATGTCAGATTGATATTAATGAGCACAGTTGTACTAACGAGTGCAGGACTACCTGCAGCATTACATTACTTTTTCTGGTAAGGAACTTAATACAAAGTGAGCTCAGCCCTTAGGGGCAATGATACCATGTTTTGAAAAATGAATTTAATGGTGAATTAAAGATCAGATTGTTATTGTGGGAATCTTTTCTGAAAATGGGATAGAGCTTATTTGAGCAAGCCAATATTGTTAGAGTCTGAGAACCACAACCTCATCTTCGACTCATTACCGGAGAGGGAAATTTTGTTAAAAGTAAAGATCAGGATGACTCTGCAGTGGTGATAAGCATGTCCAAGGAACATAGGAGTATGGTAAAAAGAAGTAGGATCATGAAGGAAGAATTTTCTCCCCTGCCTGACCCTACTGCTGTAAAATTGGTCTGACTCCCTTCTTTCCTCCTAACATCCTAATAACATCTCCCAGAGAACAGCCTGTGTTGCATTGCACAGTTATCCCCAGATGAACAGATACAGATAATGGTCAAGTGACCAACTATCTGTTTGCAGTACAGGAGGGGTGGAACCTGACAGGCATGTGAGAGATGTTGCAAACTGTCCTTATTTTTATATATCTAGAAGAAAGGTAGACCACCTGTAAGTGCCATAGCCAGAGCTCTGCACATCCTCTACACTCAGGATCCAACCTCCTTCTAATCACAGGTGACTGAAATGGAGGACCTGGAGCCTTTGAGAGAGTCCCTCAGTATCATTCAGCATCCTTTTCCAACAGACAAAAAAGCACTGAGACTTGTTCCTCCTCAGTTAAGAAATGGGAAGTTAATTCTTCAAAACTAAGTTATCTGCCCTCTTTCTATGGTCCACAAAAAGGGATGGGCACCTGCAGAGGGTTATGAATAATGTGTCTGGTCCTCCTCAGATACCAATAAAGGATGGGATGGGATGGGATGGGATGGGACGGGACGGGACGGGATGGCACAGCATGGGACGGCACAGCACGGCACGGCACGGGACGGCATGGCATGGTATGCGTGTCTCTCTACTGGTGTCTCTTTCCATTGACCAGAGTGTGGAACCCAGCTGTCTCCTCTTCCTCATATATCACTAACTTTCAGATAACAAAGGTTAGATTGGTCGTGCCCTATACACCCCATCTGTAGCAGCCCTCAGAGGAGGAAATACAATAATATATGTACAGGATGAGACAATGATGTCCTAGTCTTGGAATAATAATTCTAGCAATGCAAAATAACCATGAAAGGAACAAAATGTCCCTGAGCTACTTACCAAGTAATATAATGATGCAGAGAAGAATGGCAATAAGAGCCCCAGTGCTAAGACCAGTAGGATGAATCAAGGCTTCTGCATTACAGGACAGCATCTTTCCCCGATGGTCACAAGCACACACCCGAATAGTCACTGTTTCAGTGCTGCTCTGGATGGGGTAATCATTATCTGATATCACCACTGGCAAGAAGTAGGTACTTGTTTCATGCCGGTTATATCTGGTTTTTCGAGTGAAAATCCCCGCTGTGTTGTCTGGGAACACAAAGCATGCATTAAATCTTCATCTGAAGACTGAAAGCAAGTATAAGATAATAAAGAAAAGTCTTCCTAGAAATTCACCTCTGTTGTCCTGTAGTGTAAAGTTTGAGCTGCTGGCTGCCTCGGGAGCTAAGGAGAATGAAAACTGATGTCCATTGTAAGGGTCATCTTTATCAACAGCACTTAATGTTTGTATCAGCTGAAACAATAAGAACAAAATTATCTCCTAAGTCAGTGAATTTTATGTTTATTTATATACTCTAAAAAAAGCTGTAAAAGCAATCTCTTGTATTAATTTTTTTCTTCTTCTTCAAGGCAGATGATCTTGCTATGGTGAGCTTAAGAGAAGTCATCTGCATGCTGCTTATATATATATGTTTAGGGTCTCCGTACTATTATATCCTATGCCATCAGTGAGTGACATAATGAATTTGAAAGCTGGCAGGAAAATCATGTTGATTTCACCAGAAGGCTTGGATTAGTGCCACTGCAGATGGCTAGGAAACCTTTGCATGTGACAACGAATAGAGATGAAAGGTGAAAGATGAAAGTCCAAGCTGAATTTATATTTGTCTATCCAAATCTCATGTCACAGAAATTGTTTGGCTGAATCTTCCAAATAATCTGCAACTTTGAACTACTTTACAATAGGAGTGGTCTCTAGCAGGATGTAGCTGTATGATAGACAGGACTTGTAACTTTTACAGATGTGAAATTGTTTTTGAAGGAGACAGTGGAGGTGCCTGAATAAAGCAAAGGATGAAAGAGTGAAAATGAATCAGGGGTAACAAGGTGCAGTACAGAAAATAACATTCAAAAACATACCATCATGTCAGCTGGAAGAATACTGAGTGAAATCAGATACTGTGCAGCCACTGTTTAATTTTGCAATTAAGTTTGATGCAGTGCAAAGTACACCACTTGATGAGGTAATGCAAGAGTAGCAGCAAAACTCATTTGATTTGGAATATTTCCTTAGTATGAGCAGACAACACACCTGTTCTGCCTTTGCGTTTTCGCAGACGAAGGTCTCGTAAAGCATGGCAAACTCTGGAGCATTGTCATTTACATCCAAAACCTTAATGAACACTGGGACACGGCTGCTTTGTTTTGGGTTGTCTGAAATGACAAAACCAGAATGGAGATTTTATTTAACCCAGTTACTGACTCAGTGCAGTGGAAGAAAAGGACAGACTTGGAGGCTCGTCTTAATTTTTCTCACTCAGAGCACTTCACTTACTTTCTATTGCTTTCTGGTGAGTGTATTATGGGATGAACATAGTTTCATTACTCTAATTCTGTGTAAACTATAGAGTTAAGATGGAGTGGGAGTCCAGGATTTACAAATTCCTTTGATCATTCCAAGTGTGATTATGAATGTATGTGTGATATATGTAAATATAATACTGGAACTAAATTAAATCTATTTATTAGCCTGACTGATACTGTTTGGTGGCAGTGAAGTATCTAGAACATATTCTCTTCCTTAGCTCTCTAACAGCAAGAACCATGAGGATGAGATTGAGTGGGTTTTTTCTTCTCCACTTGTTAAATATAATACTCTGTGCCCTACAAATCTTGTGGCATAGTTCCTTAAGCAACCATAATTATCATTGTTTTATAGAAATAGTAACTGCAGCTGTGATCACAGATGCTTGATCACATCCTGTTGTGAATTGTTTTGTCTGATGTTCTAGAGTAAATACTGAAGTGTATACTGAATACCAGCTGAAAAACATAAGCACCTGTGGATCCCCCTATGTAAACAATCTTTTTTTTTCCCCTATAAGGACCACATAGTGCCAAGAGATTGAAATCGACAAAGATATTCCTGAACATAGAATATTAATGAAAATACTGTCATCTTTCTGGATAAAAATAAAAACATCTGGAAGTGCATCATACCATATAGACCATTCCTTTTCCTGATGGGAGGGGACAGAGTATAGTCAAAACAATATACAGAATAAGGAAGAAAAGCAGTGGCAGTAATCTTACCCAGTACCATGTATGGTGAAATAGGCAAGATCCTGAGGCAAAAGGTCACACGATAACAACCACTGACTCCTAAAACGTACAAGATCTGGCCCCAAAGGAATTTGTTGTCACTAACTGAAAGAAACCCTAAAGACTCTGCCATTGATCTGTCTCTTTGTGCTCCATATCACATAATATCCACCTAGTAGTATGTGGGTATGGGAATGTGAGAGAGAGAAATCTGAGGGAGAGTGTGATTGAAATAAGTTTCATTTAAAACAAATACCTTACACTCTCCTACATGAGGGCTCAAACTGAATTTTCCCATGTTGATTTCCTACCCATGTTAATACATTTTATCAATGCATTTTAACCTATCATTAAAGTGAAAAAATAGTGCAATAAAATATAGCAGATCTAAGACTCTATATTCTTCTACAAGCATTCATTATAGTAGCTTGTTGACTTTAATAAAAGTCCTATTAATGTGTTTATCATCCTTTTATAAATGTGAAAATGCCTTCTCCAAAATTGGCACTGCTTATTTGTATTACAGAGCTCAGTCATTTGGACAAAATATTGTGCTTTAAGGCTCCACAGTCCCATTGAAGTTAATATGATTCCATTAAGCATAAACCTCTTTCTAATATCAGCCATTGGGCTAAATTCATTCGATATATAAAATAACAGTTTATGTATAATATGGACTAGGCTGAATTCTTTGCTAAAATACATCCATAAAAGAGTTGAATTTTTATAACAGGCAGAAATCAAAGGCATTCATTTGAAGTCACAGAACTATTGGCAAGACTATTTTGTAGGGCATACTTTTCTAAAAAATACATTCAAATATATTGGCAAACATATTTCTTCTCCTCTGAAGAAGGAGAATTGCTTTCTTTCCTGCTTTTTCAACCTAAACCTACATATTTTCATTTTACTTCTAGGTGCTTAAGGTTCTCACAATTTAAAATCATACTGTAATAAAGAGAAGCTTCATATAAACTCTCGGCTCTATGAACATATGCCTCTTTTCTGATTTAATGGAAATTAATATCTTTTTTTTTTGATATTTTGTGTCATCATCTTTCAAATTATTTGTGCAAATTATTTCATGTAGGTTCATTTGTTTGTGTTATCCTTTAATTACTGCTGGGCTCCATCTCTATAGACTCAACAAACTGCTTAAATCTATTTCTCTGTGTAGGGATATGTTTTCTGCTGTGCCAGCAAGAAAACTGTTAAAGTGGTGGCTTTTTTCAGAATACAGCCTCAAAGTCCTGCCAGTGTTTGACTTACGCATAAGTGTTAAGTAACAAATATTTAAAAACACTCTGGGCATTGTCTTTGGTAAATCAGCTGTAATTCTGCAGCTGTGACTCACTAGACCTGTGTCCCACGTTTTAATGCCAGTTTGCTGTCTGACTGTGGCAGATGTACTGACCCGGTGTTTCACCAACTATTTATGTGCAGCAGTCACAGCGTGATTGATTCTCTGGGCTGCTGAGCAATTGCAGCTCATACTGGTGTAAAAGGAGAACATTTAGAACTGGAGCAATCTATACTTACTGACAATTCTAGAGAAAGGCAAAACAACTTGGGTATTTATTTTTTTTTTAACTGTAAAACAAAATCAAAAGCAGTCATTACTGAAAGGTGTTTCTCTTTATGACTTTATAATTATTTTTTTCCTATATCAAAGAGAGCGCACACCCATTTGAAGGTGCATCCTGCCTGTAAACTGATTGGATAATTTTTTTAGATCAATTAAATATACTTGGAGCTTGATGAGATAATGTTACTGAGAATAATAAGTGATTCTAAGGAATTTAGTGGAATGGGACTTTAAGTAGCCTTGCTAGAAATTTCTGGGATTGCCAGGAACAATAAATACTGGTACTTTCCAGTCCAGTCTCTTGAGCCTAAAATTAGTGAAGTGTCCTGGATCAGAAAAGCACATTTCAACCAAAAAAAAAATTGACTTTGGAAGACATCTACCTTTGTTATTCCAAATCTGGTCTAGGTTTAGGAAAGCACACCCTGGGAAGCAGTTTGTTGCACCTTGAAAGGATTCAGACTTAAGAGGAATGGTAATTAAGCCTGCGTCAGACACAAAGGTTAAGTTGAGAGGGTTTGGTGCAGTAGAAGGTCTGTGCTTAAGGGAGGAAGCAAGGAACCAAATGAATACTTCCTATAGATGCTAAGCTGTTTTTCAGATAGTTTAATATACACTGCATGTTATTTCAGCCCAGCTGGGGTCAATGCAAGTGTTCTTGCTATTGTCTGTGCTAAATGTTCTTGCTATTCTTTCCTTTTTAGGCTTTTATTTTTCCCTTCTGCTCTACCCAGGAGCTGCCTATAGTGTATAATTTTTGACCCTAAAACCTGCCTTCAAGAACTTAATAGAAACACAGCCACGTGACTAGCGTTCAGTGTTTGGTGTGCTGAAATCAAATACCTATCATTAAAAGGTGTAAACTTTCATGAGAGGGAGAAAACTATTAATATCTTGTCATTCCTATAGGCTCATACCCACTACTCCTTCATACAATCCCATTTGATTGCCTCAGTAGCGTTGTTTTACATTCTTCAGGTTTTCAGTTTTAAAGAAGACTTACACAATAAAGAAAGTTGAGTCAAGTAATCCTGAGCTTTTAACACTCTTCTCACTGTTAGGAAAGGTAATCGAGCCATATACACATACAAAAAAAGAAAGTAGAGCTTACATTATCTCAGAAAAATCAACAGCTTTTTAACCTCTGAGTTGCAGAGAGAAATTGTGACAGTCACAGAACTGGTGTTTATATTAAACTAATCTACCATTCCACCATAAACATAGGCACTGTGACTCTGCAAATAGAATTGCATTCTCTGATATTCCAGCATGTGATGTACTTACAGATAATGCATTAAAACAAAGCAAATTGTTTATTAATGCCATCTCGAACACATCCTTATCTTAGACCCCTGGCATTTAGACTTCTAAAATCAGCATGTTTAGTATTATCACAAGATTACTACTTTGGAACAATCCTAAACTACGCGACAGACTGATTTGTAGCTGCGGCTTGTAATTTCAAAGGATACACACAAAGTGAAAAATAGAGATGCATAAAACTGACTAATATCTGGGCACCCAGCTCAGCCCAGCCACTTTAGCCTTATTTGAAAGCATCCAGTCTGAATGAGACTGAATTCAGCCAAGGAATGCAGTTTGGCTTTAAACCATCTGTTTTGCTACATGCCAGTTTCAGAATTCAACAACCATGTTCAAAATTTAAAGTGGCTATAACTGATCAGAGAACACAGAACTGTCACCTTTTCTCCCTGCTAAGTTACCTCTTCATGAACTGTGTCCCTAATAAACACAAAACTGCAGATGACCTCTTGCAGAGTTACTGCTTCTTCATTAGTATTGAGTGGGCTATCCATAAACCTGACATGTGCCCAGCTGTGCTTTCCACACACTCAGCTAGAAGGCTAAATTCATTACATCAGGGACAGGAGTTGTATTTAGGTTTAACTTACTGATCTCTGCTGCTATTACTGTAATGTTGTGCCACAGCAGTGTTTCCCGGTCAAGGGGTTTTGAAGTGAATATCGAACCATTTCCTGAATTGATGTTGAATACTCTGTCCATATCAGTGTGGCGATCTACAGAGTACCTGCAAATACAGAGACAGGAGTTAGAGGAATGCTTTCCTTTTAATTTCTATGTTCTAAAACCATTTTCTAAGACTAGACATGAAACAGCTAGTAAATGGGGTTTCCTTTTGTTTTCAGCACAGGCTTCAGAGCCTTTATGTATTCACACAAAGAGCTAGTTCTGAGCTACTGGATAAGGACACATTGGAGGTTTGATTTAGAAGGTGGAGTATTGTCACTGAATAAATGAATTGCTGCGGAATTTACATACCTCTGAGAATCATCAAAGCTTTGTTTTTAGTGAAAAATGTGAAGTCTGTGTCCTGAAAGATATGAAGTTTATTTTAAGGCTGAGTTGGCTATTCCTTTATAAAACCCTCTTTCTGTGGTTTGATATCTCAACTGTTCCAAATCATTTCTGATACAAAATTTAACAGCTGGGGTGCATTTGTACCTTTCACTTCCCAGCACTTAAAAAAGTTGCCCGCCCAAACCAAGTCAGCACGGAACAGTGATTCATTATTCCACATACCACACAAAGGTTTGTTGTAACTCATTAAGACTAACATTCTCAGCCCTGCTTGATGGCATCTATATGTGAAAATGCATGCTAACGAGCTCTGGATGAGCTCAGAGTCTAAATACAGATTCAAATTTTAAATTTGATCTTTTGCTTTTTCAGCTGAACTAAATCCAAGTTTAAAAGTAGAACTCTCCAATTCCCGGGAGAGAGCGCTACCACCTTGATCCAAATGCTGTGACTTGGTTTCATCTCTCCTGAAGGGAAAAATCTTGCATAAATTATGGAGGTTTTTGACAGAAGTATGTCTCTGATGTTGCCAAAGCAAGAATGCAATTGCATTATTCTGCTCTTGTTTCAAGCCCAACTGTGTGCTCATGTACAATGCAGGACAGATCCTTAGGAAGCCCAGCATGCTCCCTTGGCCTCCTTGCAGGCCACGTCGATGGAGACAAGGCAGCTGCTGCTGTCCCTTGTGTCCAGACAAGGGTAGAGGTAACAGCTGAACTGGTGAGCAGTCAGATGAAAACTGGGCCGGGGGAATGACTGGCAGAGTTTACTGCCACCACAGAATTCAAGGGAATGCAGAGGCTGAAGAAAAATTTCTCTCCCCTGCTCTGTCCTAGAAGCAGCTGCAAGACACGTCCTCTATTCTACACAGATTTCCTAGTGCCTGTACAGTGTCTCCTAAATTCTGAGAAAGACCTTGAATGAAAGAAGGAATAGAAGAAACTAGCTGAAATGTGGTTCTGCCAAAATTTTAAAATGAACTTTCTAATTTTCTTGTAATTGGATTTCTTTTCCTTCTTTGCAAAAAAAACAAACCAAAAAAACAAACCAAAAAAACAAAAGTGGAATATAATGCCTACAGCAAATTAGACTTGTAAAATAAGAATTTAAGTTTAGCTTACCTTTCTAAACAAAACAATGTCAAGTATTAATTATTTGCACTAAATTGTTTTCCTTTTTCCATGGTAAATTCCTACGGAAGCACCCAAATGACATTCAAAGGTACTAGCACAAAAAGCTGACACATTTTAGTAGGACATGCACTCTTTGCACATGGGGCACACTTTGCTAATTCTTCAGAAGTTCAGAATTGTTTTTCATTCACTGCTGTCACTTCACTGACAATACTGCAATTTTGGTTGCAGGAAGTCAGCTGTGGTGTCACTAACTTAGTTCCTTTATGCAGCACTATGACGTTAACATCGGCTTGAAAAGTGCTGCTTTTGTCCAAATCTAAACAGCACGTGTGAAATTGTTGACTTGGCTGAAATACTTAATGGGAATTAGTTTATACAAACTGGTCTGATGCTTATAGTTTGACAAAGTAAGTATTTGATATGGCAAACATTTCATTTTTACTTTCATTCATCGTGCTTTTATATGATACTATGTTGGTATCTTGTGAATTCAATTATTTTCAGATATTCTGTAGCTCATTTCCACACCTTTCAGCTGAAAGACTTTGGTATTTCCATTCTGCAGTTAAATCTAGATTCTGAATTATTCTTTAAAATGAAATATCAGGATTTTCCATAGATTAGCTATTCCAGCTAACTGTAATACTAGGTTTCAGAGTCTTATTCAGCAAGACATTTAAATAAGCAACTAGCTTTAGGCAAGAGCTGTCTGTTCATCGAGGACTTTTTCTTCAATTTTACTTCCACTCCAGCTTCATATTTTGAATGGACTTAAAATATCTTACTGTCTTAGCACATTTTAATGCCTTGGTGTATTGCAATCACTATCTTTGTAAGATTTCTCAAATTCAATCTGTGGTACAGTATCTGGAAGAAAAAAAAAAAAAAAGGGTTCTGGACTTTTTCTAAGATTACCAGGGCTGTAACACTGAGAGCTTCTTCTTCAAGATATTAAAGATGTTAAAGTACAAGTATTTGTAAATCTATATGTATATTCAGTCATTTGTAAAGTGGAAACTCAAACTCATAAAAATAAAACCAGCAGAGACAGTTTCTTAATGGAATGTTAATTTTATTTCTTCATATCCCAAAGAAAATACATACAAGGTCAGTGCATTTAAAGTATATTCCAATTATACCATTAAATCTGGTCTAGAAAGATGATTTTAATAAGCTAGACTGTCACTTCTGTTTCTCAGTTTGCATAATCCAGTCTCTTTTGATCAAGGATTTTTAATTATGTTGAATTGGTGCTGATTCTGACTTCTGGATCACAACCTAGTAAGAATTAAGTCGACAACATCAAACTAATTTTAACATTTATTTAATGAAATTACGGGTGTGTATTTGTCAGACTTCAGGACTTCATCTCTTTTAAGCTTTGAGGAATTGACAAGCTAGGAATTTAAAAAGTATCAATGTAAATCCCAGTCACTCCTTGTACATAACAGGAAGAAGGGAAGGGTAAAAAAGAGAATCTAACACATGCAAATATGTTGTCAGTAAAATACACAAACAAAATTTAGCCTTACATTTGTTTGCAGATCATTTTCATCTGGGGTACTTTTGTAAATCAAATCACAGCATGAAGACAGTTCCAGTGACTGATGAACTTCATTATGCCTCTGAGGAGTTACTATAGCAAAAAAACTCAGCTAGCAATTTAAAAAGATCTGATGTACAATACAGCAGTGCCAGTTTCAGCATTGTTTTTTTATCAGTATGCAGAGGTTCATATTATTTCTGTGTAGATCAAACACAAGTAGAATGCAAAACTTTTTTTTATAATACCTCTGGACTGTAGAGTGCTATTCGGGAGCATCTTAATGTTACTTCACTTGGACACATATTCAAATATAGCCAAACATGTATTGGCACATTTTTGTATTTTCTCAATGTCATATCAGAGAAAAATTTACCTATAAGACTTAGACTGATGCAATTTAGCTCTACCAATACACAGGTCACAAATGGTTATGCAGCCTTATAACCAGGGCAAATATCTGCCTCATGTTTTGCTATTGCTTCATTGTCTTCTGATGCTCAGCAGCTTGCTGTCTAATGTAACCACAAGTCAGGAAGATTTGTGGGTCAGGAAGGGATGTGTGTGTGAATTTTTCATAATGCATTTTCATAATGATATTGTGAAGGTTTCCTTTAATGGAAGATCAAAGGGGCTTTCATCTAACAGAGTTAGGGCTCAGTTTGTTTAAGAAGAGAAATCTTCACTCGGGTAGAGGAGAAAATGGAAGGTTTTCATTGTAATATCAAGTGTCTAAAGATTTTATTTTTAACTGCCAAGAAAAATTGACAAGCAAGTGACAAGTCATATATATACAGTCTAATTGCATCTTCCCTGAAGCTCAGAGTGAAAATCGGATTTAGCATCTCTATTGCATGATAGAAAAAAAAAATTACCCTGTCAAAAAGATGCAGGCTCAACCCATGCTCCTAAATTCTAGCAGATACCCAAGATATTAGCACCATAAAATTACATTTATTGCAAGTTAACATCTCTCAGGCTACTGCTCTCTGCTGATTCCCTTTCTCTTTTACTGTTTTTCATGATTTTTCTTTCTATGTTTATTTCTATTACTTTAAATACTTTATTCTTAAATCTCTTTCTGATTTTTATTTTTCTTCTCCTTGCACTTGTCTGTTGTGTGCTATTAAGGTAAGAAGAAAACAAGTTTTCTGCTGCACTGCATCAGTTTTGACACTTCTACTAAATTTTGCTCAATAACTATCTGATACTAAAATATGCAAAATACTTATACGGTATTAAAGAACTGCCCTTTGAAAGTTAGATACGTTTTAGCACACACATTCAATTAACAGCAAAGAGCTGGTAGGCAGTACTCAACAATGAACAGCATAGTCCCTCTCCACTGTAAATCACTTATAATTAGGAGCTGGTGCTGGTGTGAAATGCAAATGGTTGTAGTTATCACCACAGGGAAGGAGGGAAGCACTCCCCTTACTCCCCAGTATCATTATATATAGAAAAAAGCAAGACTGCAAGGGGCCTGGGTGTCACCCCAACCCATTTTTCATCTTCATGCTAGCATGCCCATGCCCATGCAAATGTGCTAGAAGAGATGTTCATTCTGTCCTGGGGCTTCACCAAAGTCAGCAAAGCATTATGCTGCTCTTTAAGTGACTATGCTCTGCTGGCCCAGAATGCCAGAGAATTGCTGCATGTCATGATACAAATTTAAGAAAACTTTAATTAAAGTTAGAAGGCTTAGTCTTGAACAAGAATTCATGTGTAGGGCATGCTATGCACAGTGAAGATAGTTTCTGCTAGAAACATTTTAGATTAGGCTTGTTCATCTAGGAAATTAAAATTATAATATTTACTGCTCTCACAAGATGAGCTAAGAGCTTAAAACTTCCTCATTACTGTAAGAAATCTTGATGAAAGATAATTGTTTGCAGAAGTGTAAAGTATTGATGAACTAGATTTTTATTAAACCCGCACTGTTCTACTTGATCAAAAGCTACTATTGAGTTTCCAAGGTGCCCAACTCAGAAACCTGCTGAAAACTGACCTGGATTTAATAGTTCTGCATTTTTCAATTCCTCCTCTTGCTGCCTTGTCACTAGCAATGAACTTTAATTAAAGAACACAACTATTTTAAAGTTCTTTAATACTCTATCCAATACGACTTAAGTACTCCAGTATGCATTGAAACGATACACAATTTACAAAAAAAGAAGACTTAGTTATAGCTACTCCAACTTTAACATTTCCTCCACTTCCTCTCAGAGCAGTTAATTGATTCATGTCAAGTTTAATTTATGAAGCTCATGAGAGCTCTTATCTTACAAGCCTTGCACCGATACAGGTGAGGTCAGAGCCTGGGTGTGCACATGAGCTGATTTTGTGGCATTTCTATTTGTGATTTAGAAAATATGAATGTGGTCTCTGTTAAGCAGGTCCGGACAGATTGAAGAAGAAAAGGGTGCTGAATCAGCCCCCTGTCATATTGCCAAGAGGATGCACTGCGCTGCACTGGAAAATGTTAAAGGTGGAAGGAAAGTACTAAGATTTTCTTAGTGGTCTTCTTGTAGTAAATTTTTTCATGGTAGAAATAACCACATACATCAGTTACTAAAGAGATTAGGATATAATTCAAGATGCAAAGGCCATGCAACCACATTCACACATACCTAAATATGCTCAAGCGTGAGAGATCATTTACCACATAAAATACTCCATGTTCAAGCATGCCCTACAATTCACATTGTTACATGTGAGGATTTTTTTTGTCTGTGCTGACATGATAAAAGCAAAATCAAGTCTGTAAAAAATTTACAGGCAAGCTGAAGTAGTATATGCTTACTTGACAGGGTTCTTGGCAGCATCTGGATCCTGAGCAGTTACTGTTCCTATTACACTGTTTAATGGAACATCTTCTTTCACTTCCATTATGTATGCTGGTCTGCTGAACATGGGGGGTTCATCTACATCCTCCACCTGAATTCTGACTGTAGCTGAGTCCTTGAATGGCCCCAAGTACAGGAATCGAGGGTCCACATGAGTATTGGTAGCTTCCACTTTGAGAATATACAAGTTTTTGCTTTCGAAATCCAGTGCCTGGGAAGGAAAAAAGAAGTTTAAGAAGTCAGTGGGGATTGCTGTGATTCTCAGCCAGATGAGCAGGGTGAATGGTGGAAAGTCACAGAGAGGCCTGTGCTACATAACAGGAGCCCAAACTGGAATTAAAAGGCCAGAAAGGAGAGAAGGCTCAATGTCCAGATAATACATTAGAATAAAACCAACTTCTTCAAAGACTTCTATGCCTGCAACTCCTAAACACCAAGCAGTTTTCTCATACAACCGTAACTCTTCATGTCTGTTATTCTGTCATTTTTTGGCATTTTGATTTCTTATCTATTTCTTGCCCATAAGAACCACACACTAAAGGAAGGAATATTTTCTAGGTGTTCCTTGTTCAGATACTGGCATTCCGTCACTGAAATGAAACACTGTGGCATCTGGATATCCAAGACCACCTACAAAGCCAAACATGATTTTATGGCAGGTATGACTATAGCACACACTGTTAAGACTATGAAGAAACAGCATTTAGAGACTCTTCGTTACTACTTGGAGAAATGTGGGACCAGAGTAGTCACCTCGTTTTTCCATTACATTGTAGAAAATTCACAGCTTCTGTCAGCAACAGACAGAAATACAAACGGAGTTGGACTGATATCATAATCAGACCCTGGAAGGCATCTCCTAAAAAACAAGTAATGACAGGTGTCGTACTGATATCAACAAGCAAGTGCATGTTCGGAAAATCTACACAATGTCTATCTAGTGATGACTGAACTTGAATTGATGAAGGATGATATCTGTAACCTTATCAAACTTGCCTGATAACCCACTGTAAACAATATTTCTCAAACCTTTTCTGACAACCACTGTGCAACCTAGTAGATGATGTCCACTGTGATCTCGCAAGGCACTGTTTTTGGGGTTTTTTTTCTACAGCAAAACCATGCTGATAGTCATATTAAACTTTTTACAAAACTGTGAGTCAAAAGAAATTTTGCTATGTACTTTAATATATTATAGCTGCAGAATCAACATCTTATAATGAAAAATAGTCAAGGTGATACTCATTATTTCTATGGTTTTAACACAGTATCATCTACTAAGAGAGCAAAACCTGTAAGCATCATAGGGAGAAAATCACAGTTGGATGGTGGAGCTTCCTTGAGTTTTTCTGTGAGTATATTCAGGCTGGAGGATTTTTTCTCAGTTGCACCCCATGCTTCAAGTAATTTTCTCTCTCGGGTCCTCCGAAGTTTGTGCATTGGTTTATTAAAGGAGGTATAAAAGGAAGGATACCAATTGCTTTCATAAAAGAAACTTTACATATGTAGAGATTTACGGCAGATAGAATTCAAATTAGTAAAACATGCACATTGCAATAAAAATGGAAACCAAATACGTTCTAGCTAAAGGTTTGACTGCTGTTTCAGAGGCTGGGATTAAGTATGTACCTTTTTCACAGTTATAATTCCTTCCTGTGTGTCCTTGTCTGTGGTAATTCCAAACATGTCATATCCGTCCCCCTCAGTGATGCTGTACTCAATCTCTGCGTTTTCATCCACGTCAGCATCATTGGCTTTTATCCTGCCAACCGGGGAGTCGAGTGGCGTAGACTCAGGAGCTCTGAACTGGTATGTGCCTACAGCAGAGAGGGAAATCTGGTTAGTCAGGAAATCTGGTTAGTCAGTCTCAAGGTGCTTTGGACACCATCTCTCAGGCCACTGTCCACGCTGGGTGTGTGCAGGTGAGTTAGTGAGTCGCTGCTTCTACAGGCCATCCTGGGGCAAAAGCCTTCAGCTTCTGCCGTACTTTCATGTGGGTAAAAGTTACTTATTTTTCTATCTGTTTTCTCGTGCAGAGGATGAGCATTTTGCTTTGCTACAAACATGTAACTTTAGCAACAGATATCCTTTTCTGGATGTTCTCATGGTCTCTGTTGACCATACCAGAAGTGTGTATAAAAAATGTATTTTTTTAAAGGACAAAGGACAAATGTTAAGAATTTTCAGAAGCTAGAACAGCTTAGTAACACCAGAGCTGAATCCAGCTCAAATACCTATTAAAAATGTACTACACTGAATTTTTGCTGGAAAAAAACCCTCTGCTTTTGGAATGTTGGTATTATGAAGCTGTATCTTTGGCTTTTACATTAAAGACACTTATGTCCAGAGATGTATAATTAACTCATTGGGTGCAGAGTGTTACATTTCTTCTTAAGTTGCTCTAATTTAAATGGAAACTCTTTGCCCACAGCTAAGAACAGACTTTGAACCTAAATGACAAATTGCTTCCAATAACTTTCCCAGTGACTTAACTGCCAAAGCTCACTGATTTGTCTGATAGTATCTGCAATTATTTTCTGTAACAGCTGCTCTTGACTTTGACACACACTGACACTGTGATACACACGCATCATACAGAGAGCAGTGGTTAGACAAAGTGAAAAAGGAAAAAAAAAATAGAGAGAAAGAAGGAAGTAAAGAGAGAGTGAAAGAGAAGAGGATGAAAGCTGAATCATTTTGAATCCCTTATGGCAATGAATGGTCATTAATAGAAATTACTTTCTAAGAGAGCTTGCACAACTGATTCCCGTAAGCATGACACTGATATCTACCAAATTATTTGAGACAGGGGAAGAAAATAGGCAGAAATACCTGTTATATTTATGTACGTGCTTTTGTTTCTGTGTGCAAAGAATAAAGGAAAGTTCATTGTAGTAAATGCTTTCTGGTCATAAATACTAATTTCTGTAGAATTGCTCTTGGGATATTTTTGCATACTTCATTTGTTTCAAACCTTAAATATATTAGATTACAACAGATACCTTAAAATAAAATCAATCACAAAGTCTGAAAGAAATAGTAGTGAACAAGAAATACAGATTACATTGATCAGTTATTTAATAGGTAGGAAAAATAGAAGATGTTTCTGCACACTAATTCACTTCTCAGACTGTCAACTGCAACTGGAATAAAAATATTAAATATTAATTTCCCAGTTATTGCAATTAACCTTGGCATGATGCTATTGCTTAGTTATGTGTTCTCTTTTGCTTTCCTAAATGAAGTTTGATACTCAGTAAATTCTCAATAGAATAAATGATATCTAAGGTGAACAAAAACCAAAACAAGAACCATTTTTGTCCATTTTAGTGTTAGAACATAGAATGTAAATATTTCATACTCTGGGGGAAGCGAGGTGGATTGTCGTTTACGTCAGTCAACGTGATGTTCACGGTGGTGGTTCCTGATAATCCACCCATCTGGCCTCCCATGTCTTTAGCCTGGATGACCACTTGGTATTGCTCCCTATTTTCACGGTCCATGTTCAGTAAAGCAGTTTTAATAATGCCTGTAAACATGAAAATTAAAGAGTGAGGAGTTCAAGGGTAGTGACTTTGATGGAAATTCTTATTAAAAGAACAAAACAATCTCTGTGTAGTAAGTAAACTTTGCCCAGTACAAATATTTACTGTTATGAGATGGTTCATTAAATTACAGACTTGTCATGTCACATCTCAGGCTCCTGCCTATGTGACAAACACAGTACAAGCGGTACCCACAGAAAGATGTTCTACTTATTTGTAAGCCATGTTATTTTACACAACTATTTACCCTCTTTCAGTAACATGCTAAAATCTCTCACTGAACTGGAAAAAGGATGTTTGTTCATTATTTTGACAGATATGGTAAAAAAAAGAGAAAACTTCAGCAAGACACCATTAAAGAGTGCTGCAACAATAAATGGGAGAAATTAATTAAGAAAGTTATGAGCATCCAAACATGCCTGAGTATACATACTTCTATTTATACATTGATTGAAATGATTTCCCAGTTACTTCCTTCTTCAAAGGCACAAATACCAGTTATAAGGCCAACTACTACTGAAATTCAATCATTCAGATTTACCATGAAGCAAAATGTTTGCATTCTTACTGGGTATCTCAAGGTAAGAACTGACTGCTTTGTAGGTGAAAGGGGTGAAATTCAAGTAGTGAAATCCATGACAAAATTCACAGTGGCTTTGAAAGAGACATGTTTCACTCTAGTTCTGCAATTGATTTCCATGGCAGGAAGATCAAGACTGTGGTTTACTTAGCTTCCCGTCCCCCACACAAACCCCTTGATAGAATTTTATTACTGGTGAACTCCCAGCTACTTTATCCTTATTATCACTCTAGAAGAGCACATACTGTACTGTCCAAGTCAGAAAGAGGGCATCAGTGCAAAAATCCTGGCTTCTGTTATCTAATACCTTATGCTTGAAGTGAAGCTCCCTTTGATCTTGGCTCTCCCTATTTCAGAATTGTGTACACCCTTTCAACTCAAGTTTCACTTTGAGACATATGGTCTCTCCTTCCTGTTCCCTGCCTGAGTTGCTAAGATTTATATAAGAAACAATCCTAAACCTGATGAGTTGTCTGGGATAGTCTATTTCTTTCCTGTAAGGATGCTGAGGAGAACTGATTTCCCTAGCTTCCAGCAACCTAACACAGTAGATGTTAACACTGAGGGGGTTTCTTTAAATGGTTTGTTTATTTTTGGAAAAATTAGTCAAAAATTTTAGGAAGAGACTATGTAGTCAGGTAGTCAATGGTACACAGACTCAGTCAGCCAGAATACATATGTTGTACATTCAGAGGCTCCAAAGCTGTCTGTTAGTCAGACCATTAAAAATTCCAGTCACTGTGTATAATTTAAACATCTTCCAAAAACAGAACTCAGAACTTTGGGATTCTATTTGTGATCTTCTAGTTTAGCGCAACAGTCAATTTTACCTCTTCTATCATTACTCTTAATTAAGATTTCTTTCATAAAATTAGCATTAAAGTGATATGTTGCATATGTACAGAAATTATAATGACTTTAAACAAGTTCTGAAGAAGCAGACGGAGAAAAAAAAAAAACCTCACCTGAACAAACCCTCAGTCTTAATTTAGCCATTATGAAGATCTATGAGGATTAAGCACTTTTTTCCACACCCACCTGTTTCTCTCTTTCATCTAAAAGCCAACCTATTTGGTTTAATTTAAGCACCCACTGCAGTCTCTGTACCCACTGCTTGTTAAAAATGATTGAAAACTGGTTCACATCCAGTACTAATTGTATTTATTAGACTTTGCTGGTAAGATTAAAATAATGTAGGTGTCATGTTTACAGATGTATCGCTCTATTAAATTTGTCAGATTTTGCACTGAGTAAGATGTAATCTCCTCAAAGTTTTTTTGGCAATATATCCTAGCTCGGCTTAGCGTGTCATTTTGAATTACAGACATTGTCACAGAATGACAGATAAGGTCCCCTGACCTGTCTCAGATTCGACGGAGAAATATGGTTGTCCCTGGAGAATGCTGTAGACAACTTTAGCACTGTTCCCATATGTAGGGTCATCAGCATCAGTCGCAGTGACTTGCACAACAAAGGTACCTGAAATGAAAAATTAAAGAAAACAAAAATTAATAGATTCTTTTCATGGCCAAGACAGATTATGATGTAGAGAAAAAAAATAATTCATGTTCAGGTCAGACTTGTGGCAAGAAGTTAGAAATATTCTTATTTTGTAGAATTTTCTCTGGTCATGAAGGACATAAACTCAAAATGATACCTGCCTTATTCTCAACTCATTCAAACATAGTTATTGATCAGGTATGTGGATCCTTCATCATGTTTCTCATGAAGGAAACAGAAATGTATCCCTCTCTAGATACTGTAAGTGTTCAGAATTTGAATCTAGGTCAAGAACATACTTTTGCAAATCTACTCATACTTGTAAGGTATTTGACATAAGAATGTAAATATGGTTCTTCATGTGTCTTCCAGAGAAAGAAGTGGTGTTGAATCTTAGATAGAATGTTAAGAAACATAAAAAATTAGCTTAGATTTTGGCATTTAAAACCATTTGTGAATAAAGTGTTCACATATTAAAATGTGAATATTAGGTTCTCACTTCACCAGATGAGTTTTCATTAATGTAACAAGTCCTATGAATGAGGGGAGACCATATGCCCCGAAGTCTTTATTTTCATATTGCTTGAGCTTAATTTTAATCTCATTGTTGATCATGATTAATTAATGCTTCTCTCCCTGGACATTATTTCAAATTAGAAATGTGCTTCTTGGAATTCAAACATCCATTGCTCTCTGACAAAGAAATCAAAATGACCTCCCTAACAATCAAAGAATCAAAACCTGTCAGCTTCTCAGGAAAAGATCTTATCTTAAAATCATTTTCCAGAGAAGTTCTTTTATTTTTTTTCTTGTCTTGTCAATTTTTACAGCTCAATATATTTTAAATCAGTAGAAAGATTTCAGTGGACTTCAAGGGACTTTGGAGCTCTTTTCTTTTGTATGGAAAGAACAACAAAGGTCAGAGGAAGCTAATGGCATAACTCAGAACCAGTGGGTGACAGAAGTGTGTACAACCCTTTATGTACCTGCCCTTGTCCATTTTGTTTACCTTCCTGAACTAAATAAGGCTTGCTGAACAGATCTAGGAGTGGTATTGACAGAGATGACCATGAAATTCCATATTACTATTATGTATTAAACTCAGGTACCATGTAACAGAGCTCAACTCACTTTGATTGGCATTAAACCAGATTGTATTAATTTGCATTTTTTTGTGGTACAACAGAGGGAGCATGTTTCATCCAGCTGACACCTCTGATTCTAGCAAACTGTTGCCACTATTTTCCTGAATTTTTATTTTTATTTTCTTTTATGTCTCAGGTGCTTTTAGTCCAGACTCAAACAGCAGATGTCTCTAGCCAACACCTGTAAACTCTGGGCCCTTACTTACTCCACAGAAAGAAGCAAGACCAGACACTGAAATCAGTTATTAGTTAGCACCTACCAACATCTGACATTTCGGGAATGCTGGCATTGTAAACATCCTTTGTAAACATTGGTTCATTGTCATTGATATCATGGATCTTAATGATGAACTCAGACTCTGGTTCCACTGGTCTTCCAGTCCTTCTGTTTATAGCCTGGGCACGGAGTATGTACACAGGCTTCTCTTCCCTGTCTAGTCTTTTTGTGGCCTGGATGTCACCAGTGTTTTCATTGATAATGAAGAGGTCTCCTGCTCCATCTCCAGAAAGGATGTATTTAAGTGATCCGTCTCCTTTATCCTGGTCTGAATGCAGCTGGTGGTGAAATGGGAATAAAAAAAAAAAAAAAAAGGAAAAAAAAAAAGAAATTGGGACACAATTCTAGATACTTTAACTGATATCATGATATATGCTTTCCTATCAGTAATACTCAGCCAGAAGGCTGTACACTGTTTTTGGGAAATGAGTTGATACTACAGTAGAAGCAGTGAATAGATAGAGTTGTGTCTTGATGTCAGAATTGAAATGGTCTTCAATATTATAAGAAATTGCCTGAGGATAACCACAAACTGAAGCTGGACAACACTTTTCCAAGATAAATATATATCAATCAAATCCAAATGCTAGTGGCTTAGGTGGAATCCAGGGAATACATAGGACAATGATATCCTACAGTGAAAAAACAGTGGGTTTGGGAATGGCAGTAAGCAAAGAATTAAAAAGTGGTCAGTCAAGCCGCTTCTTGAGTTAAATTCTGGGTGCTTGGCTCTTATTCCCCATGGACATTATGTAATATATCATGTAGTGCACAATAAAATAACCTACCAAATACATACACAAACAGCAGATAAACACATGCATTCACAGATCTGGCAAACTAAGGGCAGAGACAGGCAGATATAACAGACCATTACAGCACTGGAAGTGATCAGTTGCCTTATCTAAAGGAGCATGGGAGAAGCTGAAACATGGTGGGGGAAAGGGAAAGAAGAGAATGATGGTAATTAGCATACATGAGCTGCCTGAACCATCATCTTTTATTTCCCCAGATGATTTCCACATCTCTTGGAATGCTGTTGAGTGACACCAAGGGTGTAACTGATTAAATCATATACTTATGGGCATTCCTTGATAAAGCCTCATTTATTCCCCTGGCTTTAAAATCCAGGCTACTCAACTACCACTTATTTTATCGTTACCTTAGAGAAAATAAAAATAAAAAAAATTGAAACCTTAAAATGGCTTCTAACGTGAGAGCATAGGTAATGAAGTTAATGGGGAAAAAAAAATCTGTTAGGTAGCAGATTACTGTAAATTGTTTCTTTCATAGACAAAACATGTTTATGAATCAGGAGAACTGGATTTTCTCAGCCAGCTCTTTGCTTATCTTTTCTTGAAAAGAGTTAGGGAGAAAACCCCTGGCTGACTGTTTTGCAAAGCACTTAGCATTGTTGGATAGAATGCAGAGGGCAGTAAGATTTGTAGATTTAAAAAATCTTGGCACAGATTCCAGCTGTGCTTGGCTATGCCCCTACCATGCTGGAAGGACAGCCTCCAGCATGACCATATGGTCTATGTTTTGGGTTTCCTCCAACTTTCTGCTCAAATCAGAAATCCACAGACAACACACTTGGTGGCACAGTGCTCCACTGTGTGTGCATATGCCAGTGATCCCTAGAGAAAGCATGTTCTGTGCAAAAAGTCTGCCTTTAAGGGCAAAACTCTCTATCACCACACATTCCAAGACTGTCCAATAATACAAAATATTTGTAACTGTGACATGGTTAATCATTAGCAGACATGCTGAAGCACTCTTTTTAGTTTTCTTCTTCAGGGAGAAAATGGGCATTCTGTGCAATTTTGCACGGAGCTCTTTCTCTTGATAATAAGAATAGCAATATTCTAGTAGGTTCTGTGCAGAATTTTTCATAAACAGATTTCACATCCCTTCACAAAACCAGTCAATATAATTTGCTTTATTTTTTGGACAACAAAGTTTCCCAGAAGGCTAACCTTGAAATTTGGAATAGAATTTAGGTCTCTTGAGTCCTATTCAGTTGGCCAATTTCCTTGACCAGGGGACCTAGAGGAATTATATTATTTACTAGACATAACTTCAGACTCTAAAAAACATCTATCAGACCAGCTTGTTAAGAAGTCAGACTAGAAGTCTACTGCAGGAAGTAATTTCAATAGGTTATTTGAACAGAACTTTCCTCAAAGGCAACCTGCAACAGAAAAGGCATGAAAATAATTTTATTTTAAAACCGTGTATTTTTATGATTGTTTCACATCAAAAATTCAACTTCTGTTTGCCTTGAAAACCTGTTTAACTTTGTCTGTATCAGAATGGGACAAAAACAGCCCTCAGTAACAGACAATCATTAATTTGTATGAGTCACGGAATAGTGCTGTTTTGAGACTTGGTAAAGGCTGAACTCCCAAGTTCATTTTTATCATCATTTTAATTAAACTTGGTTTCAACGAACAAAATAGCAAAAAAAAAGGTCAAGACAGAAAAGGTGTTGGAACCACTGGGAATAGTTTTCCATAATATTCTTTAACTAGCCTAGACTACTTAAAGAACTAAAAATGGAAAATTGCATGATTTTTTTCCTGTCAATTGTTTATTAAATTTCCACTTCTCCTCCAAAATTAACCAACCTATGTAAGACCAGCCATGACTCTGGATACTGAGACAAAGTACATCTCGGTGTCACCAACACTAGGAATGAGGTGATCCTCATCCATGGTTCAATCTTTAGACCACCATCTAAACCGCTCTTTTGAGAAATGCTCCCTCTGACAAAATCCTTTCCAACTTCAGTATCTTTAGTTTTACAATTTTCCTAAGACATGACAGAACAAACTAAGTGCTAACAGCTACCCAGGCTGTATGTGGGTTATTTACTGTGAGAGTCTGACCTGCGGGAGGTCATGTCCTCTATGTATATTACAGAGAGCTAAGGCTGGCTGAATACTTGCTCTTCAAACCAACAAGGAATGTACAGCATATCATCATGTGTGGCCTCATCAACCTGGTTCACAAAAGGGTCTCTAAGAGTATGACTGAACTCCATTTGTTTTCAGTAAAGGAGGATAGCTCTTGCTCAAAGATTTTTGTGGGACAGACCTGTATCACACCACGTGCTTAATTGCTGCGACAATAATGACATTACCAAAATAGTTCGAATTTCATTCTCTTCTATTCAGAAAAAAAAAAAAAAAGATTTTATATATTAAAAAAAAAAGGTCAAGCAGATCTCTAGGAAAGTTTCTCACAGATGACAAATTTGCAACATTGCCTTATGAAGAAAATATTGAAAAAAAATAAATTATTATTTTAGATTACTTTATCTGTCCTTGACAGTTTGTTTGGTAGGAAATTCTACCCAGAAAAAGACAATCTTCTTTTTTATTTTTTGTTAAGTGTCAGTTTATCTTGGAAGTAATATTTTGTTTGTGTGACCTAGATGAAGAGGGAAATTGCTACTGTTACCATGTTAAAAGATAAATTTGCAAATAAAATTAAAGGACAAAAAAATGGTACAAATTGAGTCCTAGAGAAAGTCCTGGAGGTGAGATGTACTTAAAAATACAGTTGATGGGTTTTGTATATAAAACTTAACACCAGTGTGAGGTTATGAGGATGAAATGAGTGGTAATAACAACCCCATTTTCCTTTTATGTTGGAGTTATTTTTCACTACCCGGACACCTCATTGCAAAGAAAGTTTGCTGTAATGAAGTATGTGCATAAATTACATTGCAGATGCTTTTAGCAGGACTGCTGCTAGCCAATACAAGATCTTATAGCTTCACTCTCTTTACTTTTCTGTATTGCAAAAAGGTGGCCATTATCCTCTTCATAAAGTTAATCAAATAAAAGGGCCATGGCAACGGTCATGGGATAGAATAAGATGTTTGGGACACAGCCTTCATGTAATCTGGGCTGTATCATACAACCATTCCTCAAGAAAAGGTTCATACAGCCAATTTTTTAAGTACTCCACTTTAGGACAGATTTTTTACTTCTGTCAGAACTCAGTGTTACTGGCATTCATTTCAGTTGGTGGCTGAACTGAGCAATACCCCAAAGGTAAGCAAAATGGTGAAGAACTAAGTCTAAGCAATAAAAAGTAAATGCATCAGCAATTGCACTGTATTAATATTATAATGAATTGATTCATTCAGAATCTAATCTGGACACTCCTGACATTGCCAATCAATCACTGGCTAAGGCTGAGGATGAATGACAAATTAAAGATTTTACTATGTCTTAGGCATACTTTTACTCAATTTACTTTAATACCACTGTAAAGTGAACCATCTGGTTTGCTTTTAATGATTTATGGTCAGATAAAAACTCTCCAGCCTCTTTCTTCTGTTCCTCCCAAATGTCCTGGGCCAAACCATTTAAATACAACTGCCTGGACATGGGGAAGGCTGCATTCCTCCTGAAGGAAGAGGTGTTTTAAGTGCGCTCAGGACTGCAGAAATAGCTCCTTGGATTAGGCATTCTGCTTGTTGTCATAGGCATAATTACTTTAAAGTGAAAGCCGTTTGGTTTTTTGTTTTGGTTTTTTTTTTCTTAAAATTAGCCACAATCCAGAGTAGCTTCGTTCTCCACAGTGCCTCTGGCAGAACTTTCCAAAATCTCCCAGGGTAGAGGCAATGGACTGTCTTTGGCACAATGCCAAAGAAAAGGGAAGCAGAATCTCTGCTCAAAGTATTTTTACACAAACATTTTATTTTTTCATTTATTTCTGGACTGAATATATTGAGAGCGTTTGTGTTCATCTCCAACAGATAGCACTGCTTCATTTAAAAGTAATACTCCAGGAAAATTTTACCGGGATTTTAAGAATTAATTGGATTCTACACACAGGAATTCCTTCAGCAAAGCAAATGGGAAGAATTTAAGGGCATCTTCCAAGCGCTTTTGCAGCAAGGATATGAACTGCTGTGGCACAGGGAACAGCATGTCCCCAGGTGGGCAATGGCAGGGCCTGGCAGCCATGGCCTGTCCCACCACCCCAGACAGGAGCAGGGCAGCCACAGGTGACCAGGAGAGCCCCAGTGCTGGGTACTGGGAACTCCTGGGAATGGTGATGGCTGGGCAGGGCTGTCGGGAGCTGGAGACTGGCCCTGCTGTGGTGTTTCTGGGCCAGGGCCATGTGGCTGACCTGGAGTCTTGGGCATGAGGAGAGGGACAGTCAGGCCTGGGTGGTGAACTCGGGGTCCTTCTCTCAGCATGTTAAATTCACCTTGGTATGAAACATCAGGACCAAAACTGAATAATGGAAGTGAGACGTA